TAGATAGATAGATAGATAGATAGATAGATAGATAGATAGATAGATAGATAGGTAGGTAGGTAGGTAGGTAGGTAGGTAGGTAGGTAGGTACTTTATTAATCTTTATTGGGTAGTGGGGGTGGGGGGATTTGAGGCATCCAGTAACATGTTCTAATTATACTGAAAAAGACATGTGAAATAATCAAAAAATGAAGAAGAATACACACTTTGCAAAAAGACAATATTCACATGCACAAGGTGGTAGATTTATAGATTTACAAGACTCTATTTTTACTGTACAGGGAGGAGTTGAACTGTCTGATGGCTTGTGGGACAAAGGACTTCCTGAATCTGTTCAAGGAGCATGGCTGGGACAGCAGTCTACCACTGAAGGAGCACCTCTGCTTCTTGATGGCACTGTGCAGAGGATGGTCAGCATTGTCCATGACGGATAGCTTACTGAGGGCCCTTTTCTTTGCCACCAATGTAAGGGACTTTTAGGGAAAAATGTTTCGTCTTTCTACAAGACTTCCTCAGTCTGTGGCCTGCAAACCCAGATTTGTCTTATAAATAGCCCTCATTGATGTGTTCCAAACTAGCCTCCTGCTGAATTCCCAGAAACTGCCTTTAACACATGCAAAAAGGGACCATCTGTCCAAAACAATCACTCATCATGCAACAGGAGTCTGGCTTGAAACACATTAAGACAGATATGGGTTGGCAGCGGCTGCAGACTGATGAAGTCTTTTGGATGAAAGACGAAACGTTTCTCCCTAAAATAAACTTGTCCAGATGACATGATTGAACCTTTTTTGTATTTATCTACCTGGATAACTGAGCTTACAAACCTTTTTCTGAACCATTTTTATTACACTTTTATGCTATACTATACTATACTATACTATACTATACTATACTATTATACTATACTGTACTATACTATACTATACTATTGTTCTATATATATATATATATATATATATATATATATATATACCTAGTTATTGTTTATGTTTATTAAGTTTTGGGCACTCAGTTCAAATCATATTTTAAAATATTTTAAAAGTGGTGTAGGGAAACTCTTGAAAATATTAGATTGCCAGATTTTCACCCTCTTCTTCCATTTTATAGTCCATCTTGAGTTCGATACAATCTTAATTTTTTTTTGTTCTAGAACAAGTTTAACTCGGGTTAAATTAACCTTACCAGTTGTACTTTTTCCATGCGCGACATACAGTAAACACTGAGCGTGTTTACGCTTTAGGATCCTCTGTTCTTCAGCGTTGAGGGGGCGGAGCCTAAATTCCAGAGTGGAATGAACTTCCTCCCTCAGCGTCACTCTGGGATAGGCAGCGAGTCGTCGAGCAACGTTGTTCGTCAGCGGTGTTTCGGGATTATAATCGTCGTTCCTAGTAGTAAGTAAATCATTTATAATACCCATAGTATTCCGTGGTATAATTTGTGTTTATGAGTCTGTGTTATTTGCGAAGTTGTGTGCTCGCGACTAACCGTTTGTTTCAAAGTTAAGCGTCGCTGGCAACAAGAAACTTTTGCCGTGGAGGCCCTGTGTTATCTGTAGCAACAGGTCCCGATACTAGCTTTCCGTTGCCATCAATATATTTTACGCTCTAACACTTTGTGAGGAGATTAAACCGCTTTATAAAATAATGGTACGTTTGTGTTTGTGCAGGCCCCCCGGAGCTGGAGACAAAGTAGCATCGCCTTGCCCGTCGCCAGGTTCAGGCTCCGAGGATCGACTCGTCTGTGTCGACGCTTTCGTCGAAACTGCCCTGGTGGGAGTTCACGCCGTGCTGGTTACCTAAATGCGGCACGACGCCAAAATGATGCCCGTAAGGTTGATTTATTTGGTAGAAGTTTTAGCACTGTACTGCATACATATACATATATATATATATATATATATGTATTTTTTTTTTTTTTTGCCAGTTTACTACAATTTTCTCGTGATTGTCGCTTAAAAGCTACCTGGATATTTAAACTCAAGTGGGAAGTTGATCCATGTGAAGTTTATTTGCTAATGACTGAGACGTAATTTATTTGCTTCGTGCATTCACCCTATTAGAGTTGGCCTCTTACTTTAAAAGACAACAACACCAGCCTGAAAGATGGTGTTTAACCTCAGGGATGCATTCATTTCCATCAATACACTTCCACCCTGCTCAGAGCACACAGCAGGTTGGAGGCACCTGCCAAGTCTTGCTGGCACAGACTGCCATCAAGCGCTGCACTCCTGTCCTGTCATCACTGTGATCATCAGAGGTCCACTGCTTTTTGCTGCAGTGCAAGGTCCAACCTCTCAGCACTTTCTCAGGCGTGTAAAGACGACAGCGGTGTCTGCCTTCATGTGCGCCCTGTTCAGAAGTGAGACCTGAAGTGTGCAGACCTGCATATCCAAATCGTTAAACAAAGCTAAAATGTGTAACATATGTTCACATAAAATTATTGTGGCTTATTTTCTTGGAATATTTTTGATGGGCGCTTAAGCTTGCTCATCATTTTATGTCGATTTATAAATAAACGTGTGCTGTTTTTAACCAGCTTTATCCGTGAATTACTAATCTTTAAAAAGGGGGTAGAGTTATATTTGAATTCTTCCTTTCTTTATGACCTTAGTCTATAGTTGACATGTGTTTGTGTGTTATCAGCGACATTGGTTCTCATGGCAACCAAATAAACAGTCACCTATGTGTGCAGGAACAGTTTATTTATCGTCCCAAAGGCATCCTTAAAGGAGCAGCACAAAGACACAAATTAATTTCTGTCCCCTCACAATATATATTTGGGCACTGCTTGTGTTTAAAGGAGATACAGCTTCTTGTGTTTGCCTGATAAACACAAAATGGCCTCTTTAGCAGTGTCTGATGTGAGGTATTGTCTTATAAATCACACCAGCAGCCCGTCATGACCCTGGTAGTGCAGGCCGGGGGCTTGGGGGGGGCAATGAGAATGTGGTGTAATAATTGCTGGCTGGGATGGTAAATAGGGGGTCACTGTTTTCTTGCACAATGAGCCAAAGGGACTCTTTTTTTTAACAGTGTGCTGTGAAGAGCACATTGTTTGTGCGCCTTGCATGGCATCACCCTGATAAGGAATACTCGTCCTTTTATTGAACCAAAGCATTGTGTAACTCATTTACACCTGAATTACCATTTGGTATGGCTTTCAGTTTCTGCTCTCATAAATCTCGTCGTTTTCTCACATGATTTTAGCTGCTTTCTTTGCAGATTTCTATGCTGGCATGTCTTGTGTGTGCCCACATAAGTTAGTTTATCACACATGCTTTCTTACGCTTCAACAACTCTTAACTTTTGCTGGTTTTACAACAGGGATATGACAATGGAAATGCAACGTTGTGCTTTGGGAAGCTAAACTTTTGCTGTGTGTGTCAACAAAAACCTGAATAAGATTTCCATGGCTGCTACATGCTTGCGTTACCATGTGGGAGACTTGATGTGGTTGTATAACTAGACTGCTACACACTGTTTTAGACCTTTTGTCTCAAGATGAACCAGAGTTATTGTGAAATCTATAAAGTTTAAAAAAGTACAGTAGTTTTTTTTTTTTTTTTTTATTCCGTTGTCTGTAGAACTCAGGTTATCAGTTTAATATCACTTCTAAGAAAATCCACATCATTAAGCAAGTATCAACTTATTATCTTGGGATACTGAGTCACTCAGAACTGAGAATTCTGTATAAAATTCCAGAGGAACTGTCTTTACCACATGATTAAAATGTTGTGAGCTAACATTGTTACTGTTGTGAAGAAACAGTTCTGTTGGAATTGCTGCAAATTGTGTTGCACGTAGTTTATTTTTTAGGCCACTGACAACCAGAACCCAGCATGTTTTAATAATGGTCTTCTCCAGGGGTATTTGTCAGGGCTGAAACTCAACTGTCAAGGAAGATCTAATATGTCCAACCTGGAAAAGTTCATGTTGTGGCTTTCTGTACTCTGCGTCTTTCAGTCAGCTGTTTTTTTTATTTATTTACTAGCTGGTTTTTGCATGACTGAATAAACCACAAAGACATTTTAATCTGGTGTCTGCCACATTTCCCTCTAATATTTTAACATTTGAGTCTATAAAAAAACATTTTGCATTATTTAACTTCTTACACGGTAGAATATTTTCATGGAAAACAGTTTTTAACTTTAAATATATATTCTGCGATGACAATTGCCCTTTTCTGACACCGTCATTTCAAAAAAGCCAACAACACTGTAACGTCATAAGATAATTTACTAACGAAATAATCCTTATCGCTTCAGTTTTGGTTCCCATTTTCTCCGTCTCCTAGATTGGACTGTCTTCTTCACGTATAAGAAATGCAGAAACATTTCACAAGTGCAGATCAGGATTGATGGGGCTAAATTCTGCAGTGCATACAATGAGAAGAGATGTTGCAGAAAAAAAGCACAACTGCTTAGGGTGTTGTAAAAGCTCCCTTTTTATTGGAAAGGTTTGCAGCCGAATGATGCAAATGCCTTTCAGAGTCACTCTGTACACTCTGCTGTGTGTTTCCTAACCTTTCTGCCCTTGCTGCCTCATCCTTTGGCGCAGCATAGTAAAACAGAGAGCGGGTGAAAGAGATGAAGAGAAATAAAGCAGAAAGCCATTAGGGAGTTTTCTGTTGCCTCACCTTTTTGAAGGACCATTATGTTAGAACGGTTTCAGCTTTGGAAGCAGTGAAGAAGGACACGATCACGAATGCTGCTGCAATGTCTTAGAAACTTGTAATTAGAGAAGACCTGCTCCATACAACTGACTGATCCATTTTCTTACAAAGGCTATATATATATATATATATATATATATGTAATTGAAAGTGTGTATAGACAGAAGAAGAGCAGCCCTAAGGTGAAGAATCGCCTGGTGTGGTTTAACACACCGCTTTCTGTTCTTCCATTTATCCTGTAGCATTAGAGTGATTGGTTGTTTTGTGCAAATAATTAAGAATTTTATTGTATTTTTTGCGATTGTATTGTTTATGTAGCTTGCTGCCATCTGTTCTGACTATGACAATGCTGTTTTTTTTAAATTAATTTAACACATTGTATAGAGGCAATTTTACTGCAGTTTCAGTTTTAACCTTTTGTTCAGAAAGATAAAAGAAATAGTACTGAAAGTCATCCACTGTAGTGGGTCGAGTTAAGTACTGTAATTATGAATACGTACTACAAATGTTACTAATGTAGTGTGACTCTTCTGTATTCTTTTGGCACGCCAGTATGAAAATTTCTTATGGTATTATGGCACAAGCACATCTAAATGAAGCCTAAAAAGCATCAACAAAAGTGACAAGTCACAAGACATGAATGTCAAAATGTAAACAGACCAGTAAAATCATTACTGTTGCATATTTCATGTCTGAGAAGAACATACAATAAGAAACTATCTCAAAAGTTGGAGCATATGTTTTAAATTCAAGTCTTTGACTGGATGGACTTCTATTTGCTAGTCACTTTGAGGTCAGACTAGTTCTATCAGGGAGCAATTCCTTGTGATGAAACTATTCCTAGAAGTCAGAAACTGCAGCGGCAGACAGTTTTGATCCTTTAATTTAATATGTGACCATTTTCTAGGGACCAATAATCTAAAGGGACGTGGCAGCAGAACTGACCTTCACAAAGCGAGTCACTTCTAAAGTGGGATGATGGGACTTATAGTCTTTTAGGTCAGTTCCAATTTACTTATCAAAGGATCGTGCTAACTTGATTTGCCTTTGACGTGTTTCCACGTTCTTGTTTAGGAACACAAAATGGCCGACTACCTCTCTCTTTTTGTTTCGTTTCCACTTCGAGGTATGAACAGGGGGAGAATGCAGTCAACACCAACATATGCAGTTATTTTATTCTTTTTATTCGTTTGTGATCGACTCTGACTACAGCCCTGCTTTTTAAATTAAAAGTTGCCTTAAAGGAGTTGTCTGTCTAAATCAGTGATGAGGCTTTTAAAAGCCCATTCAAATCTGTTTGACGTAATTTTCTTTAGGGTTCGTTTGTAAGAAGAACACAAATATAATCACAAAACCGTTAACGCACCATCTTTTTTAAACTTTATGGCTGATATTCTTGATGTGTGGTATTTCATTTCCCAGCCTTACAGACATTTCATGTTATCTAACTACATGTTGGATAGAATCGCTGACAGAGAAGGTAATAATCTCGCAGTAACTCGGAACAATCCTGACAGTATACCTCTTTGTTTTTCAGTCTCGTTCAAACCTTTTCATTGAGGCAGGTCGAGCACTGCCAGCTGCAGCCTCTCTCCTCCTCTTAGATGAGTTCTTATTGCAGAGTATTTTCTCTGTAGGTTTTGATCTTGCGGCCTTTCATCTCTGAGAGATACTCACAAGCCTTTCTTTACCAGTGTGTCCTGAACCAAAGGTCTTAAACTTAGCCTCACTAAGAGGTTTAAAAAGGTACTGACTATAAAAAATGTAATCTGGTGGGAAAAAATGATCAGCTGCTATTACGTTTGTCTACGTGATTAAAATTTTTAGCTTATATTGTAATTCAATTCCAGTTGACTGTTAAAAAAGCTAAAATTGTATCCATGTATATCGGATTAGCGATCTCTCCCCAGTGACCTTGCTGTATCTCTGCTTCTTTTTGAGAGTAACTATACTGGTCAAACACTTTTTTCTGAATGGACTAAATGTATCATTTTGCTTTTAACTGAGACTAGTTCTTGTTGTAGCTTTTCCTTTACTGACACTACAGTGCAATTAGTAATCTTTTAGTAAATCACAGAGGCAATGTGTCCCCTCTGGATCCCTGGGTTATCTATTTAGCCCATCTCAGACAAGAAGGAAATGCAGTTCAGCTCCTGTTTCTGTAATTTGCTAGAAGGCACGCATGGTGAATAGCAGTCAAACTTTGTCATAAACACACTGCAGTGGTGCTGCTTAGCTCCCTGGTTTTACAAGATGGCTTGAAGCAATCTTTTCTTGTCAGCTGCAGATGGGCTGTTTGGCTACTTCACTGTGGACCTATTACATTGTTATTGAGCTGCTTAATTTTGCTTGTTGTTCTATGAATATTTAATGAATTCAATTTCTGTCAGTCAAAGCTGGGGATCCAGCCATGCTTGGATCTTCTTAACACACACTTCACTTAATTTGAGGCCCTGCAGTATAGTTTAAAATTGAGTAAACTACACATTGTAGATTTATTTATTTTTTTGGTCATTTATATAAAATTACCGGGTACTAACAATATCTTTACGTATTGAGTTACCTGATAATTGAAAGTCAAATTAAATAATTTTTTTGGCTATAGATGTATACAATGAACATAACATTCATTGTGTTAGGCTCGTTTTTTTTTTAAATCTAATATTGACAATGTGTGCTAAACTATGAAGCACTTGTGTTTATCACTGTGATCCTGTGCACAAGGTCAATGGAGGTCAGCAACAAAGTGCTAACTCATCTAAATGGATACTAGGAGTGGTCTTTGTTGGCTACCGGATCATTAACTTTAGTGCTGAAGAGAAATGGCTTTAAGTGTAGAATTTGTCATCCCCTGACTAAATTCCTCTCCTATTGATTCTTCTCACTTTTTTCCTCGGTCATCTTTTTGTTTTCCAAATATCTCTACACAGGATTTTAAATGTCCTGCATCTCTGAGATATTGCAATATTATTTGCCATATTCTGATGCAAGATTTATTTTATTTATTTTTATTTTTTTAAGTGACTACATCAAAATGACAATGCAGTTAGTCGAGTCATTTTTATTTTTGTGATTCACATCATATTGCAGAGATGTGATGATTAGGAAGCATTTACCAAAAACAAGTGCTGATTTAAACTTGATTCTCCAGTGTTGGAACACTTTTTTTATTTTATTCTTTTGCTCTAAAAGGTCAAACAATTTCTGGCTTGTACATTTTCTGGCAAAAATGACTCACTACGGATAAGAATGACTCTGTGTGTTGCTCTATCTGAGGGGTTCTTTCATTGACTTCTCTATTAAATCAACCAGTTAATTGGTCCTCTGAGTCAGACTCATTTCTTTGTCCTTTGTCTAATAGCTATTAAAATATATTTGTGTAAGTTGCTATGGAGGTTATTCTAGGAATCGTCACCTATTCATGTACTCAGCGAGCTGAAAATAAATGTGAAGGCCTCTTATGACACCCCCTCTAGTTAAACAGCAATTCACATACTTTTCTTTCTACATCGTGGTTGCATCTGCTCAGCTTGCTTCCCTCTCAAGCCCTTTGTGCTTGTGATCCTGATGACTTGATGTTCCCACCATGCAGAAACAACCATTTACTTACAGAAGCCCAACTTGGCTCTGTAACCTGATGGTCCACAACACACACACCTGCTCTGATAATTGTACGCTTTCCAGGCTATTAGAGAAGTTTTGTGACGGTTTTATTTCACCTTTATTGAAGCCACTACAGATGCAGTAAAAACCTGGGGCAGTAAATTCAGTTTATGTCACATCCTTAGGCATCTTTGTAATGATAGTGGTTTTTATTGCAGCCTTATCTAAGCCCTCAGCCCCTATGTGGGATCAGATTATGGTTGTGCTATGGCCTATTCCAGCACATCACTAAAAGCCTCTTAAGCAAAGATCTTTTAATAACAACACGGCAAGATAGATTTTTTTTATATTTCTGTTTACTGCCGCTGCTTGTAGAGGTTTTAGAACATATTGATAACTTGATGTGCCACTTTATTAGAATTTGATTATTTGAGCTTTACTTTATTTAAACTAAAACAAGCCACTTAAAGCAATAAGTATTAACAATATTTTATAATGACATACATGTTTATTTTGAAATAAACATTTCTAAATGTCTGAATTTGGAATCCAGAGAGTTCAGTTTTGTGATTAGTTTTTTTTTTATGCTGTTGATGAAAGTCTTCACATGCCCTCATTAAGATTTCCTTTTTTTTTTTATAGGGATGAAGCATTCATACTCTGATATTAAACACTGAGCTTCTTTAGAATCTGTAGTGATGTTTTGGTGCCTGCGCTGATCAGAAACACGTGATGAAACTGAATTTAAGGAGCGGCTTTCTGATTGCTCTGTTGACATAAAGAAATGGAGCTTGTGGAAACAAATAAAGCTATGAAGCAAACACCGATTTTACACTGAACCATGGGGGAATCTGACACTAGTTACAGGGAATTGTTGCTCTGTCATCATCAGCGTTATTTGTAACTGGAATTATTTTTCTTCAGTTCCTGTTTAATTGATCATGTAATCTGCCTTGCCCAACTTTCATTTTCTCCCTCCTGCTGTGCGCAGACGTTCCTGACCGTTTATCTCAGTAACAACGACCAACATTTTACTGAGGTTCCTGTTACCACCGATACACTCTGCCGGGATGTGGTAGATTTGTGCAAGGAACCAGGAGAAACGGACTGCCACCTGTCTGAGATGTGGCGAGGATCTGGTAAGCGAGATTGCTAGCATATTCGGTATTGTACACAGTTTACAGTTGTCAATTATGAAGATGAATTGTATGGTCATCTGCTTGATTTCTTTTGTTAAGGCTTGTCTATTTTTAATTTGAGTCTGCAATGCAAATGAAGTGGGGGTCTATAATCCCTGTCACAAACACAAGTGCCTAAATGTTTCTAAAGTGGAAGGTGCGGTGAGGAGTTGAAATTTCATGCCTGCCTCATTTTCCCCTTTTTGAGATGCAATAAGTATTCAAAATCAAAGCTCAAGGAGCCAGGTTTTATAGCCGTTTCCATGGTGATGCTCCTGAATGAATGAGGAAAGTGCCAATTATTATATTTGAGTACTTCCATAAGTAGTCTGAATGAAATGAGATGGCAAGATGTTAAAAACAGTCTCATTTTGCAGCCATTCACCACAAGTCTATTCTATTCTTATGAACATAATGTTGCATGTATGATTTAGTTTTAAATTAAAATGATCATTTCTGTTTGCTGATTTATTTTGCTACCCTGCCCCCTTTAATAAATTAGTCTCATTGACCTCTGTTTGACTGTAATGTGTCAGTCCCTTCATGTAATGTAATGGGCTTCAGGCTGTAGATGAAAATGTCAGAAAATGGTGAACGAGCTCTTTGGCTCAGTGCCAGTCCGAATAATTTACAGGACTTTATTTTTCCCTGAAGTCAAAGACATCCAACAGGATGCACCTTTCTGTGTAGGTTGAACAGCATTCACAAAGTAAACAGCACCTGCACACTTGACCTACCTTAGTCTTGTATTTTTTTAACCATGGCCAGCCAAATACATGATTATCTTTATTTTATATATTGTATATTTTCTCTGCAGAGCGAGCTGTGGGTGACGGTGAGAGGATGTTAGATGTACTCCAAAGATGGGGACAGCACAGGGGCGAGGTGCGCTTTTTTCTACGTCACAACCGAGCTCCTAACAGAGAATCAGGTAAACTAATCTTTTAACAGAAAACTGAACCATACAGCAGACACTTCTCAAAAAAAGTAAAGGTTACGTTTGGTCCCTTCTCAAAAAAATAAAAATGAATAAAAATCACGACTGAGTGAAGGTCGTCTTCAGAGAAGACATTTGACACCAGCACTGGAAATGCCAAAGATGCCTTCAACCTTAAATGCACGCACGTCTACTGTTTAAAGCTCATTTTCATCACCAGCCTTTTCAAAGCTAAGATGAAACCAAGTCACTGTTCTAATGGTAAAGAATTGAAAGTAAAATGCTTCAAAGTGCTTTTATTTAGATAAAAGTTTAATATCAACAGAAATTCTTTCTCCTGTGCCCTAGGGTGGAAATGTTCAATTTTAAAACTTGGGCCTCTGAGGTAATTTTGACCCAAGAGCAGCAAGTTGGTTGAATCCTTGTACTTTATTTAGCCATCTATATAGAGATTAGACATAATTTCAGTGTGTCCCAGTTGCATCGTTGTAAGTCTGTCATTTTAAAACTTTCAATTTTTAGAAATGGAAAAAGTCTAATATTGCTTGTTCACTATCCTCTCATCCCTGTTACGTAACTAAGCCCTTTACCCCTCACAGCTTGAGTCTAGCCCAGGGATTAGACGGTTGTTTTCCCTTCTTGTTATCTTTTGCTGGTGTGTTTCCCACACTGTTAGCTCCTCATTTTTGCAATCAAGCTCTGCATTGCTTTTTTCATCAGCTGTACTTTTTTTTTTTTTTAAACCAGGTTCCATTGATTTTCTGTTTCTCTTGTGACCAAATTGGATAAATCGACTCAATGCCTTTATAGTACTGCAGTTTCTTTGTGGTCCAGATTCTCTAAAGGTGTTTAATTTATCATCAAGTTGAAGAATTAAATGGAATTGAATTGAAGTAGCAGAGTAAGCTTACACTTATCATTCAATTTATTCAGCTTGTTGAGTAGCATGCTGTTTACAGTTGTCTTGAAACAAAATGTACCAGATGAGGAATTGTGTATTGAAATGGACAATTGATTAAAGTTCAAGCATACAGAGAGACTTGGAGAGACATACATAGAGAGTTGTGTATTAGATCCCTCTTGTTTCCCAGAAAAGGTCAACTAGACTAACCTGATGCACACCCTTCCCTACAGCAACTAGAGAGAAACAGGTGGATTTCAGCTTGTATTCTTGTTTATGTGAGACACAGACAAAAAGCTAAGAGGAAATTCCAATCATTTTTCACAGCTGTCTGTAAAGACCAGTGGTTTTTATTGTGTGAATGCTTATTGAGCATGCATCAGGACGTACACACAGTTGTTTTCCTGTTTCTCTTTATAAACTAATCCTGCCCTGGTTTTTGCTAATATTGTGACCTGCTTATAATTATTTAGCCTGCTCATGCCAATTTAGCCCTGGTAACAATATTCTGCATTTCCAATACTTCTGCCCTGTTTTTGCTAATTTAGCCATACCAGTGCTACTTCTGCCATGCTTTGTGCTAGCATTCAGCCCCTTTTATGCCAATTCCACCCTGCTTATGCTTATTTTAATTTGTATTATGCTAATTCAGCCCTGTTTTTGCTAATTCAGCCCTGCCAGTGTTACTTCCACCGTACTTTGCTAGCATTGTGCCCTGTTTGGGCTAATTCTACCCTGCTTCTGCTAATTCTGCTCCAATTTTAGCTAATTCTGCCATGTTTTTGTGCTTCTATTGCCTTATTTTTGCTAGTTCTTTCCTGTTTTTTTACTAAATTAGCCCTAACAGTGATACTTGTGTCCTACTTTGAACTAGCATTTTGCCTTGTTTAAGCTAATTCTACCCTGCTTATACTAAATCAACTCTTTCCTCCATTTTTTTCTAGCATTTTGCTGCTTCTTGCTCCTAGCTAGCATTTTCCTTATTTTTGATAGCATTTTGCTACATTTGCTTCAAAGCTAGCTTCTTCTTGCTTTTTTGGCTAGATTTTTGCTAATTTCAAGCTTTTTACTAGTGTTTTGCTACTTGTGCCTCTGTTTGCTTTTTTTTGCTTTTTTTGCTAGCATTTCAATACTACTGACTATAAGCTAGCTTTGTCCTTCTTTTTGTTAACTTTTTGCTCTTAACTAGCATTTGCTGCTTTTTGCCGGCATTTTGCTCCTTCTACGTCTTAGTTAGCGTTTTCCTGCTTTCTGCAATCATTTGGTTCTTCTGCCTCTAAGCTAGTTAGCATTTCACTACTTCTGGCTCTAATCTAGTCATTTTTATTTGCTAACATTTCATTACTTTTGTCTCTTAGCTAGCCTTTTCCTGCTTTTTGAAAGCATTTCTGCAAACCATTCACCTAATTTTGGTTATAATTTCAGCTGTTCATATTAAACAAGTAGTGACAGTTCAGCAATTGAAGATTTACAACTTGGTTTCAGCTGTTTCAGCAGCCTTCAGCAAACTCATTCAGCAATAAGCATTCACACTACATTTTTTGTAGGAAATGCAAAGTTTTCTATTTTCTATTAAACTGGACGAAGAAGCTGCTTTAAATGAAATTCTTCAACACATTTTGTTCTCTAAAATTGTCCATCTTATCTACTCTTCAGGAGGCTCAAGAGGCTCAGATTCAAAGCGGAATGGAGTGAGAGCCCCCTCAGACAAGAAAATGGAGAATGGGGTGAGTTCTAATATTTTTAGACAAATGGTTAAACTGATGTATTGACAACTACTAAACCTTGATGGCATGTGAAATATGATTTTTTTTTTTTTTTTTTTTACAATATTTGAATTTTGACAAACAAAAACATAATTAAAAAAACAATGTTTTGATGTATCAGCGATACCTTTTTTTCTTAATTGTAAAATGTGAGTCACATATTTAGTATTAAATTCAGTGACCTGGTATGTTATACTGTTTTATTTGGTGAGTAAGTTATGCCCCAAGGCGTACAAGTTTCAGTTCACTTCTCAGACAAACGAGCATGACTGTATTTCATCTTAATTAATTTGTGTTCCTCTTTCGTACTTGTTCAGGTGGCGACACCTCGGATGGACATGACATTGGCTGAGTTACAAGAGATGGCTGCCAGGCAGCAGCAACAGATAGAAGCTCAACAACAAGTTCTCGCCTCTAAGGTACATAAAGTAGTGCAACATGAGAGAGGGAAAGGATTCAGTACAGAAAAAAAATTCACAAAATTTGAGTGATAAAAAGAAAGAAATTAAGTTAACGAGAAAAAAAACACAAACACTACTTGGTGGTTCGTTTTTCACGGACTCGCTCTTTTTCAAAGTAAGATTGGACATGACACACAGTTGGCTGATTGATGGATGAGCTGCACGTTCAGCATGAATTGTTTATTTAAAATTTTTATTTTTAATGATTTAGCACCTGTGTGCAGCCCACAGGTGCAGGGAGAAGCTCCCTCCTGCATTTCTCCTCTGGCTGCAACAGCTTCATGAAGGGTTAACTTTTGATGTCCAACTGCACCCATTGACTTTTGTCTTCCAACTTAAAATTCAAAGTATGTCACATCGTAAAATCGTCATTATCACAAAATATAAAAGTGTTAAAAGTTATTTTTAATTATTTTAGAACTTCTATGTTCAGTTGTTACACTGTAATTGATCAAGAAGTACATTTCCACTCCGTGCTGCATCTGCTGCGTGAAGGGTTAACCCTTTGCTGTCCTGCTGCCCTTCTCTTGTACTAGTATCCCTACTTTGCGATATTTCACTTATTGCCCGAGGGGCCTCCTGGAACCCAACACCCACAATAAACGAGGGACTACGGTATTAGGAGACAACAGAGCATTTGTATCCAAAACAGGTGCTACGCTAAGTCAGGTGCATTTATGAAGTTAAAATGTGTTTGTGGAGATTATGAAAGTTTCACAATCTCACAGTTTGAGTGTTGAAATGATTGCAGAAAGTGTTAATAACTCGATAAGCCCTGGATCACTTTCTGCCTTTGGTTGTCACTGCGTTGGACTCAGTGGTAGAAAAAAACGAATCTAAATTCATAGCTTTTAATTTTTTGCTGTAACTCTTAAAATGTTCTCATCTCGACCTCTGTTCAGCATTTAAGTTCACTTTAAAAAATCTTTACTGATGACTTTGTAAGTCTGTGATGTTTACTGTTTTGTGTACCTGAGGGACAGTAGAGGACGACAGGGAATGTGACTTCCAAGTAGTCGCGTATTCACTTCGCCACAAGTCAACAAACCGGGATTACTTTCAGCTCACATGACTTGGAACATTTACTGATAGAGACTGCTCATTTTGAAACCTGTTTAAGATACTATGTAAACTGTTGTATTTAACTTTCATGATATCTGAAAAGCTTAACAATGTCCGTCATTACTGTTTACAAAAGCAATGTTTATATAAAATACATTGTTGCTGTGTGAACCATAAAAACAAAGAAACTGTATCCTCAAAGCAATTAACAACCCTAGCACTTCTTAGAATAACTCTTAAAACTTGTTCAAGATAGACGTAGAGAAATTGTTCAGTGAAAGAGATTAATCTGATTTTTTTAGTTCCACTTCTGCTTTCTTTTGTCTGCAGGAGCAGCGACTGCGGTACCTGAAGCAACAAGAGCAGCGTCAGCAGCAGCAGGCAGCAGAGCAGGAGAAGCTCCAACGCCTCCGAGAAAACATTGAGAACCAGGAATCCCGACTCAAGAAGGTCAGGGCCCTCAAGGGCCAGGTGGAGCAGAAACGTGTCAGCAATGGCAAACTGGGTAAGCTCATCGACTTGATGAACTCATCAATGTTTGGAGTTCTGTTCCTAAGTGATACTGGGGAAAAATATGATTTTAAATAAGATCATGAACTTCCTAATGCATCCCTGTGACGTCCTGTTTTTATAACGTTGTCCCTGTGAGTTTGTTCTGCTCACCTTTCCTCCAACATCTCACACCATTTCTCTCTCCAGTGGAAGAAATTGAGCAAATGAACAACCTGTTCCAGCAGAAGCAAAGAGAACTGGTGATGGCTGCGTCCAGAGTGGAGGAGCTCAGTCGACAGCTGGAGTTGCTCAAAAATAGCAAAATGGAGAACAACCGCGACAACCAAAGCTCACTAGCAGAACTAGATCGCCTCTATAAAGAGCTACAGGTGTGCAGAAATAAATAAATCAATCAAACAAATGAAACATCTGAGATGATTGTGTTAGACAAGCAGTAATGTTGGATTGACTCATATTTTGTGGTGTTTCTGTGATCAGGTGAGAAATAAGCTTAACCAAGATCAGAATTCGAAGCTGCAGCAGCAGAGGGAGAGTCTGAACAAACGCAACCTGGAGGTGGCTGCGATGGACAAACGAATCAGTGAGCTTCGAGACAGGCTTTGGAAGAAGAAGGCAGCCCTTCAACAGAAAGAAAACTTGCCCGTAAGTGTCATCACCTCACCACAATAAAACCTAGATTTAATTCTTCCTGTAACAGCCACAATTTCTTGTTTACAAAAATTTATACTTTGGATAAAATTCACCTCAAGTTCTTCAAATGTCTTTCCCTGGAGCCTCGTATCTTGTGATATTCAGAACTCACCCATACCAATGTAAAGCTCCTTCGACTACACACATGAAGTTTTTAAACAAATCAATTCTTTTTTTTCTTTTTTATATATTTTTCCCCCCGATTGCTTTAACAAGTTGGAACATTATGATCATAAAACCATGTTGCATCTTGAACGCTTCTTCCCAAATGCGCTCTTCAGCCAAGTTTATAGTTCCATTTAGACAGAAGCAAGTCCCGACGATGAGTGAAGACATGAGCTCAGATTGTCATCAAGACGTGCAGGAATGTTTGCTTAGATATTATCTTTTCTGGTTCCTTCCTTAACAAGCCGAGCAACCGGTTTTCTTAAAGAAACATGAGCATTTTTTATTTGTATTGTTTTTTTTGAAACGCTTAAAAAAGTTCAGTGCATATTAGAAATCTAGCAGCAGACTCATTCTAGCAGCAGACTCATTCTAGCAGCAGACTCATTCTAGCTTTGACGTTGCCTCTGGCAGTTCAACAGATCAGTCCGAGTTTACAGTTCGTCGTCGTCTTGCTCCTCTACGTTGCTCTTCGCTGTACAGGAGTTGTTTAGTACACACGTTGCCATGGGGCTGTAAATGAGAGTCAACAGTCTGGTTTATGAAACACTATCTGAAGGAGAAAACTGATCTTCTTCACTGCCACAGCATATGACACTGACGACCGAGTAAGATCATGAGAATTTTTTTGTCTTCACTTTCTCAAAATGTACGCGTCATTTGTACTTCACCTCCTTGGTATGGAGTTCTCATATGTTCTCTGAACTGAGTACGTTTCCATTCAGACGTGAAGGTGCTTTATCTGCTTTCACTGTAAACTTTTGCTCTTTCCGTCTAGTTAAATTTTAACTTATAACTAATTAGCCGCATAGCAATTGTTCTTTAGTACTTGTGGATGCTTTACTTTCTAATGAGATATAAAAAATAAACATCAAGTCTTTAGCGTGCAATGTTTACTAAGCAATTGCAGTGAACACGATGTACTGGATCCAAAGTGGTCTTTAAGTTATACCATAAGTAATAAGTGGCCTGGTTATTTTCGTATCCTTTTGAGTGTCTCTTAGCAGTTTCTTATGAGCAATGTGCACCCTACCTTGTCTTTTAACACCCCCTTGACGTCTCTAATAAAGTAGGAACAATACACTGAAATGTTTGCATGTGTGTATTTGCAATTCAGTGCGTGTTTTTTGAGATGAAAATCTGAATAGGCCCTAGTGAGAAGGTGATTTACCCACACCCTGCCTAGAATCATAATGAGTGATCCTTTTTCACATCAGCACAAAGACACAAGCCCTCCCAAGCCGCTTTATCCCCTACCAAACCGCAAGCGTCTGGCAGACATCACTCCACACACACACACACACACTCACACACTGACTAAACAGAAATACTGTGAGCTGAGTTATTCCACACAGTCTGTATTTTTTTTTTAAATATAAAAGCACGAAGAAAGGCTAATATTAGAGTGAATAGGGAGAAATATTTGGTGTTTTTGAACTGCTTTTGCATGTTTGTGCTTTTGTTTTGTTTTTTCAAGAATGGCTATCCTGCTAAAGAGAGGGCTTCAAAAGACACTCATCGTCAGGTAACTAAATTAGCATTGCAGCTGTATTTAATCTTATTTTCTTTATTGTGTTGCCTGTCTTTCTGTCTGTACAGCACTTTGGTTGACCTTGTCGCTGTTTTAAGTGCTCTATAAATAAAATGGTATAGGAATGTGCGATATGGCATAAAATTCATATCACGATATATATTGTGAAGGGTGGCGATAACGATATATATCGCGATATGTTTTTGGTATAAAACTTGCTTAAAAAAAAGCATAGGGTGTCCTTTTGCCATCATATATTTTGAATTAAGAAAATTCCACTACTAGGTCCAGAGTTTTTAAATAATAAACAAATCAAGTATAAGGCTTCTTTCTTGTAGTGCAAAAGATATCAAATGTAGTTTTAGCCAAATGTTTTAAACAGAAGAATATGTTGTTAACTCTTAACAGTTTCCAGTCTTCTCACTTTATAAATGAACAGCAACAGAGCAGCATTTTACACTGAAACACTTCACCCTCCAAACCTCTAGTGGGCGTCTCCTTCTGCTTTAATGGCGAGCTGACACAAAATGAATCTGTGGCTTTGACCAGAGGGTCTTTCAGTAAAAATCACACAACAATGTTCTTCTCACAGATCAGAGAGCAGGTTTCTCTAAAGCTGACCAACGCTTACTTTAACTTTCGATGGAAAAAGAAACAACTTTAGACGGAACACAGCGTTTTGCGCATGCGTCAGAATACGGCAACACTACGACAAGCCGGCTGTAGTTAGCTTGTAGCTTCGCTACTTAGCTCTCGAAGAAAAGACTAACGCCACTTGCGCACAGTTTTCAACAAACAAAAGTAACGATTAAACTAACAACTCTGGTTTTACTTCAGACACAACATTACTGCGGTTAGCCGGTAGAAGCCAGATCTCTACCGTAGGCTAAATTTCTATCGTTTCTACCGTATACCATTTATATCGCACATTCCTAGTATGGTATGGTTATTTGCATAGGTGATATATTATTTTTGCCCTTCATTTTCTATTAACACTTGTTTGGCAGTGCATGTTCATTTTCTTTCAACAAGTCAAATATGACAGATTGTTTAGTCATTAGAGTTTGAATCCATTTTTTAAGGTTTCAACATTCTCAAAGTGTCTTTTTTAAATTTATTTAAATTTTTTGTCCAACCAAGTATATGCAGTTTTCTAAGCAAGTTGTGCCATTTATGAGAATTTTCCATAACTTGAAACTCACACCAAACTATTTGAATTCTGCATTTATTTTATTACCACTTGAAGAATAAAAATACTGAACTATACTTTTGGTTATTTCTAAACATGCAGTTAGATAATACAAGCAAATGAACATTTTGTTCTAGTGTATTATATCTAATTCTTTTTCACTTGCTTGACCATTTATAGCATTTTTTAGATGTTAAAATGCCTCATCAGTTAATGTTTACTTGTATTCGATTTTAGTTTGTGACAGCACGCTTTAAAAAAAAAAACTTTGAATTTAACACTGAAATGACTTTTTTCTAGCACCACCTACAGGTTAGAAAGATGAATAACACATTTCAAGTTCCTGATAATCTCCATGTTTTGTTAGAAAGAAAAACTTTATAGGTCTAAGTATGTATTGCTACAGTGCTGCATACAGGCACAAGTTTACATATCTTTTCAGTCAAAATTTAAAAAACACTTTATTTTGACCACATTTAATCATCTTTATCTTTATGTATCCGACAAGTGTATTCTCCATTCCGTCTCCTGTATCACCAAGTATCTTGAACTGTTTTCACCAAACTTTGCTGCACTAATAATAATTGCATTCTCTTTTTTCTGTGTTTTTGTTCCTCCAGCTGCCTTCTGATGGCCAAACCGGGCAGCAGTCGGGTCCATCTCGTGTGGCAGCAGTCGGCCCTTACATCCAGTCATCCACCATGCCCAGAGGTCAAGTTAGACATGATCTACTTGTAAAACCAGTGTATTCAGACAGCACTTCCCCTCTTGCAGGCAACGAGCCCCAGAGCAAAGCTGGGACAGGTGAGAAATCAGAGACAACAAGCTGTGTGCGTCCTTTCACTCCTGTACCTTCCTCATACTGACACACATATTCAGGGAGTCTTACTTGCCTGCAGGCCCCCGTATTGTTCCGTCTGTCACTTCATGTACAATTTACCCTCTTATTTTTTATTGCTATGCACATTATCACACAAAGTGGAGTTTTTTTTAAATCCCTGGACTACTCAGTGTTTAAACGGAATGTGTTTGTTGAAAATGTGGAGGCACTAAACCATCCTGCTTCCTGCAGGAGAAGAGAACACTGGCCCGCCTGCAGATTGTGATGTCACTTTGAGCTCAGAAGGTAGCCAGTTACCTCCTCAAAGGTGTGCTGTGATGTAGCCCTGCTGAGAGTGAACATTAAAATACTTTTTGTTTTTCTCCACTGTCTTTTTTTTTTTTAATACTGATTAAGTTTGCAGTGAATAAAATTGCCACAGTATGTGTCTTTCTGCGGTATTCTTTGAGGTCAACACTTTGCTACAAGTTTTAGCTGTGTCCAATGGGAGGAAATGATTATGTACTTTATTGATGATCCATTATTATGACCAGAACACAAATGGTAACAACCATGGGTTTTATCTTTTAGTTATATTTTCAGATTTTTGCTGAATTTCTATTTCTGTTGGTTGATATACCTTAAGATTTAGCAAACAAAAATGATTGGACCTTTTTTTCTTTTTTTTTTATAAAGAGCGACAGAAAATCCCAGTTTAAAGCTTAGGAAGATATTTAATTATATGTTAAATATATTCTGAAGACATAGAGGCTCTGAAATTATTTGCGATGTCTGCCTCCAGAGCTCGTCAAACCAAATGAGTGATTATAGCAATATCAAACGTAGAATTTTCATAGAATATCTGTATAATGTAAAATCTATTCTTGGTGGAAGTCAGATGCCCTTTGCGTCTCGTAGTGTTAAACTTTTATCCTCAAACAGAGAAAATTGTAATTACAGAACAACAGAAAAGATTATCCTGCATCCCTGCTCTAACGCATCCTCGTCAGCCTAAATGTTCCTTTTTTTAAAGCAAAGTCATGTACAAGCAGACAAAATAACGTTTTTTTTCTCTCCTCATTCTGTTCTGCTGTTGCATGCAATTACTTCTGCATGTTGGGTTGATGTGCAGTATGGAAAGAAGAGAGAGAGGAATAAGTGGGCACACAAAAATCTCTCATTACCAGTTCTCCTCAAGCTTTCAAAGTGTAGAGCAAAGTATCAGGCAGACTCCTGGGGGGATTGCTGCTCTGTATGGCCCTTCAGGGTGGTCAGTGCCTGGACTCAGCTAGCATCATGTCTAGAGCAAAAAAGATCTGGAGGTTTAAGGCTACTTTGTTTTTCTTGTCTTTGGAACGCATCTTCTTCAGAGGCCATGTTTTTGCTTAAACCTCTGAAAGAGCTACGGGCTAAAAGAAAAGGTACACACTTGTATCTGTGCGTGTGTGCTTTTTTTGATTGCGTTATTAAGACGTACCGGTACTGTGCATCCAAAAAATGTATATTTATCAGCTGGAATTTGGTTTGACTTGCTTGTTTTGCTGCTGTGTCGTTTATTTCTGATTGTTTGGTTTTCTATCATTTCCTGAGACACTAAATGGAACAAATGCACGACCTTCACTTGAACTGAGGTTCTGTCAGGATCATTACCCACTCAGTCTGGTCGTGTCTTCAAAATCTGTGTTTGGGTTTCTTCAGTTCCTGCATTTTACATTCTGCGAGGCATTTGATGAAAATCGTTTTGTTTTGAGCATCTTTGAGGTGCTAAATGTAGCTAATGGTGACAGCTCTGTGCTTGGTGGCTCATCAGACTGTGATTGTCTGCATAACCACTGACTCAAACTCAGCCAGCCACCCAAAAATTTAACAATGAACAAATCAATGTGACATTCAGCACAACACAAAGCTACCTTTGTGTTTAAATATTCAACTTGAGTGTTGTCAGCACTTTGTTTTATTTTTACTACTATGACATCATACTTAAACTTCCCATTTTTTTGTTGCCTTCTTTCCTCCGTCCTCCTTTGGCGGTCCCTCAGGGTCTCAGTCTGGAAAACTGGCAGATTGGAGCGCTTCAAATCAGGATTCAAACACCAACGGTTATGGCCAAGCTTCAACACTGCCACGAATGACCTCTCACTCCAGCTCGAACACTGAGTTAGGTAAGCTACCCAGGCTGAGCAAACACATCTTCACAGGAAATAAACTGCAGTCTTGGTTTTGTGAAAAATAACTTGTAAGGCAAAAAGTAAGTTCTTCTTAAAATGCCTTTTTTTTCTGTTCTTTTAGAAAATCAAATAGTCTTTGATCATGAGAAACAATTAACTTCTGTCTATTATTTTATGATTAGATGAGTCTGAACTGAAGAGGGACAGGAAGATGCGTCCTTTGTCCATGTTTGAGCCCACTGAGCCCCCTCCAGCCTCCCTTCGCAAAAACCAGAGCAGTGATGACCTGGTCAGAGACGCTCAGGTGAGAAATCAAGAAGAAACTGATTATAGATTGGTTTTATTTGCAGCAATCTAATATACTATATATTTTTTTCTGAATGTTCCAGTCTGCACCTAAGGCTCAAGTTAAGGTTCCACCCCCTGTCCCCACCAAACCAAAAGGCCCTTCTGCTGTTCCCTACAGCAAGCCAGGCCTCAACACAGGCACCTTCCCTAAGACCAAGCCCCACAGCCAGCAGTCCCAGACGGCTCAGGGCCACAGCCCTCTTCCACCCTCACAAAGCCAAACACTCCCATTACCCTCTAAGCAGGACACTCCACCAGCAGCTACGGTGAGACCCTTCACCCCAGAACTCCCATCCTCCAAAGACGGCAGTTTGACTAAACCACAAACTGTAGCAGCCAGTTCTATTTACTCCATGTACACGAAGCAGCCTGGATCGGGAAAACCCTTCCAGTCCGGCATTCAAGGAGCTCTCAGCCGGTCACAAATCCGCCCTAATGGATTCATCAGTGGTAAGAATATTCACAGTCATGTACAATGTAATGCTGTAAACTGTGTTGTCAAGTTGACTCAATGGATTATGGTCAATCTCGTGCATGTTTGTGTGCATTAGATATGATGGATGTAGTATTTTTCAACATTTGTTTCCCCCAGTGATTTATCTGTAAACTGACAGCATAACATAATCTCATCTGATAATTTCCCTCGTTAGTACAATCTATTAACTAAATGACAGCACGGTATTATCTTGTTGGACACTTACCATGTGTTTCTTATGTTTATCTTTAGTATATGGTAAACCAGTGATTCCAAGTGGAGGCCTTCAGCATCCCGAGAATCCGTACCTGGAGCGCCGCTCGCCTGCCCTGGAAAATGAAGTTGATATCACTGGAACCAGTAACGTGGGTCCCGGCCCTTCTGAAGGCCTCCAGCAAGAAACGGAACGCATCCCCCGTCCACTCAGCCCCACCAAGCTTCTTCCCTTCATTTCTAACCCCTACAGACAGAGTGACAGTGACTTGGAAGCCCTCAGGAAGAAGCTCTACAACGCCCCACGGCCCCTGAAGAAACGCAGCTCTATCACTGAACCAGAGGGTCCAGCGGGGCCCAACATTCAGAAACTCCTCTATCAAAAGACCACTCTGGCAGCTATGGAAACCACTGCAACCACACCATCCCCTCCCACATATGCCGGAGAAGCAGAGAATCTGGTGTTTGGATCTGCAGAGTCACATGGACCGATCGGGGCAGAGAACCCCCCCTCGGAAACGGGACAGACGGTGGAAAGAGGACAACTCCCATCTTACATTCCAGGTGCCAACGTCCCACTTCCAACCACAACTGATCAGACCAAACCACCTTCAGCCTTCCCAGACAGCGAGTTCATTGTCCCCCCTCCTCCACCATCCCACCCTGCTCCCAGGCCTGAGGATGCTTTCTTTCCTCCACCACCCCCTGCAGGGTCGGAGGACACAATGTCCCACTTGCCTCCTCCACCTTCAGAAGGCTTTTTGGAAGAGTTCCCCCCGTACCCACCACCCCCATACCCCACTGGAGCGGAGCAGGACAGTTTTGGAGAGGACACCTTTAACATGAAGGCGCCGGAGGTCACAGGACAGGTCACGCTGCCTCCGGTACGAATTACCATCCAACACTGCAAACTCAATACGGGGTTATTTGCTGCTGTTTGTTTTCTAAAGCCATAACATTGTTAAGAAAAGGAGCCCTGACATGTTTATTAGTTCCACAAGAGCAGATCATGAGTTAAAGTTTGTACAAGTCCTACTTTAATGAAGTCCTGGACACGATCTGTAACCTAATCTGGTGTTTTATAACAGAATAATCCTTGAAACTTCTGTTCTTGTTTCTTTAGAGAATGGACGCTATTCTCCTCAGACTAAGAAGATACGCTCTGTTCTGAAAATAAACACTAGTTTGCATTTTCCTAATGCTAAGCTCTTGGTGAAACTCAGTAAGCGGTTTAAAATTCACAACCCAATAAGAAATCTGTATTATGACCTATTTTCCCCCTCAGGTTGGCTCCTTTTCTCACCTACCACAAAAAACAACTTTCTTTTTCCCCCAGTAGATATTAATTGTTGCTAATCAGGTTGCATAACCATGATTTAGAGTAACAAATAGGTTTTTTTTTCTTCCCAGCTTGAGCTCATAAACTGGATTAACAAAGCAGAGTTGGAAACAAGTTATTTTTCTGCTCTGAGATCAGGCTGAGCACAGCTGAGAGTGGCCACTGCTGAAAGGCAGCGCCTCACATCTTATGTTTGCGTGTCTCGTTCATGATCTTTAAATGGTTTTGAGGATGATCTGAGTGACAAAAGATCACTGTTGTGTCTTCAGGGAAAGAGGACTAATTTGCGCAAGCTTGGTTCTGAACGCATTGATCACAAAATGAGGGTGAAGTTCAACCCACTGGCTCTGCTGCTGGACTCGTCTCTGGAAGGAGAGTTCGACCTGGTCCAGAGGATCATTTATGAAGTAAGTGTTTTGATTTGAAACTACTTTTTGTTACATCGTTTTATTTTTTTTATTTTTTGTTCTCGTAATCGTTTATAGTCTCACAGATGTGTAGATTATCTCAAACTTTGGTCGAGCGTGTCTCACTTCTCCTCACGTCGTTCCTTCACTGCAGGTGGAGGATCCCAGTCAGCCCAACGATGAAGGCATCACTGCTCTGCACAACGCCGTGTGTGCCGGACACACAGAGATCGTCAAGTTTCTGGTTCAGTTTGGCGTCAACGTTAATGCTGCTGACAGTGACGGCTGGTAAGTAAAGATGGTTCATTTACAAACAATTATTTGCTCTGTTTGTTTTAGTTATAGCTTGAATGTATTTTATATGTTCTGTCTGGAACAGGTCGCTCTTTTAAACGAGTCCTCGTGGCTCAATGAGGCTAACCCGTATAAATAAAGGTTGAATGAATAAATGAATTTAAAAGAAATTGTGCATTAAATCTCATTCTGACAAACATAAATGTCTCAAAGTATCAAGTCACTTTTCTCTGAATCTATTTTTTTATTACAATATCCCCGAAGTCCTGTTTTGTTCTCCAGTAGCTTATTAAAAATGTTTTCTCTTTTTTTAAAATTTGATTTTGTTCTCTCTCCGATCAGGACACCTCTTCACTGCGCCGCATCCTGCAACAACGTGCAAGTGTGCAAGTTTTTGGTGGAGTCGGGTGCAGCAGTGTTCGCCATGACTTACAGCGACATGCAGACAGCAGCTGATAAATGTGAAGAAATGGAGGAGGGTTACACCCAGTGCTCCCAGTTCCTTTATGGTCAGTAAAAGATGCTTGTCTAATGTTTCATCTTGGTCTTTTTCTTCTTTTTTTTTTTTTTTTTAATACAAGCTATCACTAAAGTTAAAGAGTGCTGAAATTGTGTTTTTTACACGTTTCTCAGGCGTTCAAGAGAAGATGGGTATTATGAACAGAGGTGTGGTCTACGCTCTGTGGGACTACCCTGGTGAAAACCAAGACGAACTCTCCTTCCATGAGGGAGACTGCATGACCATCGTCCGCAGAGAAGATGAAGATGAGATTGAATGGTGGTGGGCACGTCTAGGCGACACCGAGGGCTACATTCCCCGTAACCTCCTCGGGGTGAGTTCACGAGCCTCTGTGAAAACTCTGCAACCAGTGCATTTTTCAGGTTTTTGACATTTCTTCATGTCTTTAACAGCTCTACCCCAGAATCAAACCAAGGCAAAGGACATTGGCTTAAAACACAAAGATCTTTTCACATTTCCAGCCTGGCAGAACTCTACAGGACACACACACACACAAGCACACACACACAGGCTTTAAAAGACTGGGAGCGAAAAGGACTCTGCCAAAATGAAGAAGCAAGGACAAACCAATATGAAGGATCAACCATTTCTGGCACTTTCTTTTATCTACAACAGAGGAATTTCTTCCTCACTCGTTTTTCTAGCACCCTCTGTGTCAGTTGGACACTAAACTTAGTTTTCCTTTACTTATTTTTGTAACTATAATCCAAAACTTGCACCTGAAATGACCGAAACATAAAAACGGGGTGCGAAAATGGAACGGGCAGTATTTTTTCTGTCAATTTTTCTACACTTGTGAGCAGCTCTTGCTTGGTGTGCTGGTTATTTTCTAACAAATATAACAATGCATTAGGTCAGTGAGCAGGCGACAATGGTAAAAGTAAAAAGAATACACTGTTACTGTGACAATCTTCAGCAGCCTATTTGTCAGTTTTATTCAACACTGCTTCTGGTAAACGTGTTGAAAATGTAACGACTTGTGGAGAAATTAGAGATGAGGTTTTTGTCATTCTGTTGCAGCTTAATCTGTGGTAAATAATGCCCAGTGAACTGGGCAGCTTTCCTGCACTGGTACGAGGTTAAGATGCCATACATTCAGTGTGTTTGTGTATTTCTATCAACGTAAACCGGTAAAAACTTCAACGTAGTACTATGATACTGTCGTGACAACTGATTTTCAAGCTCTTAAAGAGACACTTTGACTAAAAAAGGAAGGTATGTTTTATTTTATTACAATCATTCCATGATGGTATAAAAATGCGAGAGGCCGGGGCTAATCTGTGAAGCCCTGACTTCTCATAATCATTTAAAGGTTACACATTTTTCAACTTATTTGTCTTAGTCAAATTTATAGCACATATTAAAAGTAAAAATGATGAATCTTGTAGCTTTTCACATATCTCGATACAGATGTATTTATTTTTGTTACTGTCTTTAGCTCTTTTGTCACAAGTATAAACATGTACTGTAGTTAAAACATTTACAATAAAATACTTTGTACTAAACTCATCTGTTTTTATTACCAAGCTCGCATAAGTTTGTATCTACATTATCACCCTGATCTACAGCAGCGGTGAACCAGATCCTTTGAATTTACGCTGTTCTTTTTATATTAAACATTTAAAAATTGAGTTTTTAAACTTCTAGATTTATGTGAGCAGGAAAATAAATATACATATATGCTACCCTCTGCTGGAGAACAAATGTTTGCTCGATGGTTTTTAAACCTCAAACGGCAAATACTTTTTGTAGAACATTAAAAACAAACATGAACCTTAAAGGTGTTTTTATTTGTTTGTACGGCTTTGTTTTTGATTGAAGCTAATATAATTAGGCTAACGAAATGTAAAAATTGTTGCCATAAATTGCAGCTACTGGTATTTGCACAACAATACAGAGTTGGCTTAATGTTTGGGGCTACATGCTGCAATGTATTCTAATAGAACAATATTTTATGAAGGTTCACAGTGACTTTATTGGCATTAGCATCACATGGTACCTGAGGTGGAACAATCAGTTACACCCAGAAATAGCAAAAATATAAACTATAAAAAAAGAAACGGTATACAAGGATATAATATATACGCTAAACAATAATAATATAGTATATGGTGTATTAAACAGCAGCCTGAACATGAGTCTGTAGTGAGCAGATGGGTATGAATTAGCTGCATTCGGGTCCAAAAATTCAACCCGGCCCCAGCCGTCATTTCTGAACCCCACCCGACCCAACGAATTAACTAATTCCAGGTCCGAACCCGAAAAAACCCTGACATTTTTAATTAAGCTGACTGCTTATATAATTATTGACGGTCGGTGGATACGCGCAGCGGAATAAAGGGGGCAGAAGATGTGAGCTGCTTCTGCCTGCATTCTGCATTATTCAGACACGGACCATGCTCTGACATGTCGGATATTTTGGGATCTCACCTGTTTGGGTCATCGGCCGCGCGCGATCGCTGAGTGCAGCGACTGAATGAACGTCCATTTGGGCTGATGGATTGCTGGCAGTAGTCCATCTGAAGCTTAACTGAACTTTTTTTAATTTATAAATTATAAATACAGCGAGGGAGTGGTGGCACAGAGGTTAGAGAGGTGGGCCTGTGATCCGAAGATCGCAGGTTCACGCCCCGGCCCCAACAACTTCAAAATTGTGGGTGGGGTAGGTGAAACACCCACACTTGCCCCCACCCTCATTCGCCCCACCCTGGGCTCATGAGCAAGGCCCTTAACCCCCACCATGTGCTCCCTAAACAGGTCTCTCTTGAAAATGAGTTCTCGTGGCTCAATGAGACTACCTGGATAAATAAAGGGTAAATGAAAAAATAAAAAAAATAGCAGCTTATGGGTAAGAATCAGCAGCATGGATAAGCAGCAGCATGTCATTACAGTGATTTTCCTGATTAGTGATTTACGAGTCTTATATTTATATTTATGAGTTATTGTTCCACTGATTTGAAATTGGTTTGTTACAGCAGCTGCAAGTTCAAAATTAAAAAACAAAAGTCATTTAGCAAACAATAGTATCTGTTGGGGGCAAATGATGGCAGACATGCTCACAGTAAAGTTGATTTTAATGGCAACGTTATATTTTCTAAGTAAATCTAAGTGTGTATTTTTTCCATTTTGGTATAGATGGTTTATTTGTTTGGTTTTGGGGGAACAACAACAAATACATTGTGTTTGTCTGAAGAACAAACTCTGACTCAAATTGGATCTTAATGATTTTTATTTTATCGGTACTTGCTCGTTCACCGAACATTTTACTCTCCACACACACCTTGTGCCACACCCTTTCACGTGGTTCTGTAACTACTTCCTGTCTGCCAGATTGCAGTACTGACACCTGGTGATTACCATAATTACACCTGATCATCACACACATCTCAGCCATTTCACCCATTAAAGTCACTTCCAGGTGTCTGATTTGTAGAAGATGATTTATTTTATCTCCTGCCATCTGGAAGAAGAGATCACTTCATGGAATCAGGACCAACCAGAGCGTGCAGCAGCTACATTCCTTACAGCAACCTTCATCTGGACAAAAGAAACGACACATTTTAAAAGAGTTACATGTGTTTGTTTTTGTACTGACAAACCGTTTTTCGTTTAAATTTCCTGAAGAAAAGAAAAAAACAAACTACATTTTCCTGTCTTCCAAGAAAAGGTCACCATGAAAGAAGCGAGGCCAAAGGTCAAAATGCGTTCTATAAACTCTTGCGTACAAAAATCCCCTGAAGGACTAATGCTTTACAAAAGTTATGCGTTTGTGTCCAAATACCACAAATTCCAATTGTGTTGAAATGGTTATATTAATAAAGAAACACTCCGACATAATCTTACAGCTTTAGAATCGTAGTACTTGTAACAGGAGTAAGGAGAAAAAACATTGCGGCAAAGGAGTTCTTTAGAAAACTGCCTGAAATTCAATATCTATAAACCTCAGCTGGAGCAACAACACCACCAGCCTGATCAAGAAAGCTCATCAGAGACTCTACTTCCTCAGACGGCTGAGGCGAGCTGGTCTGGGAAGCTCAGTCCTCACCTCCTTCTACAGGTGTGCAGTGGAGAGCATCCTGTGCTCGAGCATCAATGTGTGGCATGGAGGCTGCACAGCTGCAGAAAGAAAAGCTTTGCAGAGAGTGGTGAAGGCTGCACAGAAATCTGTTGGAATCAGCCTCCCCACCATCACAGACATCTACACCTCCAGATGCAGGAAGAGGGCCACCTGCATCATGAAGGACCCCACCCACCCAGCACACACACTTTTTGCCCCACTCCCCTCAGGAAGGAGGTTAAGGAGCATTAAGTGTAGAACCACTAGACTGAGGAACAGCTTCTACCCTGAGGCTGTTAGACTCATGAATCTCTAACTAGAATAATCACTGTGAAAAACCATATCATGTTGCTGCTGATCTGTTTCATGTTGCTGCTGATCTGTTTCAATGTTGATGTGTTCATGCGTGCACATCTGCTCACAGACTCATGTTCATGTTTGTGCTGATGTTCAACGTTTTATGTTATGAGTGCTTAGTGTATATTTAGTTGATGTTTTTCTTAGTTCATATCTTAGATGTCATTACTGTTTTTCTTATACATTTTATTGTTGGATGTAACTGGGACCCTGCATACATAATTTCGCTCCACCACATGTACCACATGAGGTGCGAATGACAATAAAGAAACTCTGACTCTGACTCTGACTCTGACTCTGATCTATAAGCTTTAAATTAGTTTACAGAGTTTAACAAGGTTGAGTCATGTCCTCTGGACAGATTCTTAAACGTTTCCTCTTTTATCCAAAAGACGTCTTCAGTCTGAGGAGCTTTATAAGCAGCATCTTCTCACAGTGGAGCAACCAGTTTGCTGGTGACAGCCAGAACTAGTCGTGAGCAAAAGGAGCACCATCAGCCTAACGATTGATCGATCAGGGCACTAATTGATTGTTAGTGCCCTGATGGCTGCTTGCTATTCACAGAGGGCTGAGTGATGCTATTATGTGAGGGGGACAGTTGGACACGGAGGCCTGCGCCCTGTTTAATGATGGCAGGTTCTCTTCACAAACATGGCTTCCTTCACTCCTCTCTCCAGTGTTCCTCTCTATCAAGGACGTGAACATCTTCACCACTGAACGAGTGACCTCTGACCTGCAAATGAGTGTAGACTGCCTTTGCCTGATGATGTTGCTCTTCTGTGCTGGACCATTTTGGCCAGTGGCTGTTTAGTTTCCCCAACGTAAGACTGATCACAGCCCTCCTGACACTGAACAGGATACATTCCTCTTCACCTGATGGCTGGAGTCCTGTTTGGGTTTCTTCTCTGCTTTCAGGAAAGCCCAGTTAGGATATCCATATTGCTCCAGGGCCTGTCTTGTGTGGGATATAGGGTTCCTGAGTTTATGGGGACCTGTTTTGCCCATCCAGAAGACCTGACTCAACCTTATTAAATTTATCTATCTGGATTATTGAACATGCATCAGAACATTAACTAAGAGAGATAATAATAATAATAACCATACACATTTACAGAGGTCATAGGTGACCTCTTTGTAAAGCCTCATTTCTGCTCCAGCTTGATATCCCAGTAACTTAGAAATGTCAACCCACATTTTGTTCAGATCATCCTTATCCGTCCATCCATGAGACAGTCCAC